TTCCAATTTCTCCACATTTCAAGTCCATAAAGGGGACTACTTTCCAACATAAAAAGATGCTCATTTCCACAACTGCATCAGCTTATTCGTGCAATTTACTGCCTCAAAATCAGAAAATGTTGTCAAGCTTGCAGGTACAACAGCTCACAGACTTCAGCAACAGACCACCCAGGAGAGGGAAAAGTATCCAGTGAGATAACGTCTTGGAAAGTAAAAAAGCGACCACAACCGCAGAAAATTCTGCCCAGTTTTTGTAGCTAAGATTTGGCAAATCTGGCAAATTGCTGGAGGGAGGCAATTAGGAGTTCTTCTAGGGGGAGTGGTTAAAAGAGGGGGAGTGTCTCCTTTAAAGGTGTCTTTTATGAAGGACAGTTTTGCCACATTACTTAATGCATCCCCTATTACAGGATTAGGACACTGACTGCATTAACTCCATCTTTAAATCTTTGAAAAGATCAGTCCTTGACCTTTCACTGGTTTTAAATCAGGAGCAGATTAAACATGAATCCTTCAGATGGGGATCCCAATGCCTTGAGTGAGTTCAAAGCCAGCAAGCAGTAAGGGCAGAAAAGCAGGTAGCACCTCTTCTTAGATGACTGCCACCAGCCAAACAATCTAAGCAGAAGAACCCACATGGATGCTGGGCATCAAAATGTCGCACTGTGAACCTTTAGTAACTTGAAAAAGAAAATGGGATAGGGCCACAGTTGTTGGGCAGCCTTCATATGTGTCCATCTATTTAGGTGCTCATATGTCTTTCACTGCAAGGACTACAGAGCCTCTCACACAGTAAATTGTGTGTGAGGTGGGAAGCTAAAGCCAGAGTAGCTGGGGATTGAACACAGGTCTCTCATTACTTATTTGTAATGTTAGCTGTTTTACCCTAGCTCTTAGGTGCTGTAGAAACACAGAACAAAAAGAGGGTTCTTCTGCATCTCAGTCTGATACTATCTCAAATAGAGGCTGTCAGTTTTTTTATGCTGCATACCCCTTTCCAAATAATATAGTCAATTGTGTAGCTTGATCTGAGTGGGGTCATAATCAGTGGTCCTGTAAGCGAAGCACTTGTGTGGCTACTCAGGAGCAGGGATGAAAGGGTGTTGTCGTTTAAACAGGCAACCAATAAGCTCATGCTTATCGGTTACCCAAAAAGCTATATGGCTTTTGGCACCTGATCCAGCTCCCGAGAGCCACCTGCTGCCCCGTGCTGCTGTCTCTGATACAGAGGCAGCAGTGTGGGGTAGCAGGCCTGAGCTGATATGCATGGGGAACCAGCTTAAAAGCCAACTCCCTGCGTGCATCGGCTTCCAGGGAGCCACCTGACATCACATGCTGCTACTGCTGTATCAGAAGCAGCAGTGCTGGGTAGCAGCTGGCTCCCTGGGAGCAGTGTGGCAGGTGGGAGTGGTCAGAGCTAGGATTTTGATTCTACTGGTAATGGCACATTTGCACATAAAAAACCTGATTCTGCATGTGGTGGAAAAAAATCTTCATATGGATAGAAAAGATTAGATCTACGATTAGATTGCCAAGTCTTACAAATAAAGTATGTTGTCCACCATTACAAAATTTTTCTCACTTATCTCCTGATGACAGCTTGTGTATCCCAACGGGTAAACATGCCCCACTGTGAAAATCATTGCACCATCCTTCCTATCATTCCTGGGCTGCTCCCTAATACTTTGCTATTTTTAGCATGCTAGCTCAAGCAGAGTTAGCATCTGTATGTTATGTCTACCCATGCTGGGAAGCACACTCTGAGCTGCGGTGTAGACATACCCTATCAGGCAAGAACACCAATAGCAAAAACACATGCTTGCTGAATAAAGGAAAGAGATGATGCCATCTCATACTGCATCTGAGAGAACGATGCTTTTTTCTGCATTCTATCATCCAGGGTGAGCAGGACTGGATGGAACATGAGCTGCTGGAACAAGGGTTAAGGATATGTCTCACATATTGTAAAGGAGTCTGACAATGGGAAGCTAGAGATAAAATCTGGTAAGTGATAGTTTGGGAGTGCCTGGAACTCTTGGGCTGTGTCTAGACTGGCCAGTTTTTCTGGAAAATCGGCCGCTTTTCCGGAAAAACTTGCCAGCTGTCTACACTTGCCGCTTGAATTTCCGCAAAAGCACTGACGATCTCATGTAAGAAATCAGTGTTTCTTGTGGAAATACTGTTCTGCTCCTTATGACGTAGTGGGGGTACCTGGCTGGTTTCTATGCTGCTGGCTCTGGGGTAACCCCCACGGGCTGCCGTGGGTACCACGACCCAGCAAAACAGGATGAGTCACTATGCAAACCAGTATGGCCAGACACCCCCCATGGAGAGGAACAAAGGAAGGTGGAATGCTGCCCTGGCTGGGGGCAGGGCTGGAAGAGAGGTAGTTGGTTGCTGGCTGGGAGCATGGAGGAGAAAGCCTTGGGAAAGGGGCTGGAGTTTAGGGGCCCAGTCTCCCCCATCTCAAGGGGGCCTGAGGCATCCTAGCCCAGCTCTGTGACCAGACTACATCTGTGCTGTGCTGTAACCTGGAGAGGCAATAAACTTCCTCTATTCCACCGGCTGGTGCAGTCTGTTTGTGCCATTTTGGGGTGCAGGAGACGGGGGACCCCCAACGCACCGTCACACTCCTGTTCAGGCAAAAGTCCCTTTTGCGCAAAGCTTTTGCGCAAAAGGGCCAGTGTAGACAGCTCAGATTTGTTTTGTGCAAAAAAGCCCCGATCGCGAAAATGGCGATTGGGGCTTTTTTGCGGAAAAGCGCGTCTAGATTGGCACGGACACTTTTCCGCAAAAAGTTAAAAGCATTTCCGGAAAATCATGCGAATCTAGATGCAGCCTTGAAGTTTAACAGCTTTGGTGCCTTTTTAATCTGAAAGTTATTTTCCTTCTGTCTGAAATCAGCTGTAATTAAGTTGAGTGCAGGTCAGCTGTGAGTATTTTTAAATGCAGGCCTTTGGAAATAAAAGTTCATTTTTTATTAGGGTTGCCAGGTATCCGGTTTTCGCCTGCATTGTCCATTATTTGGGTCCCCCATCCAGTAAAAAAACCCAGAAAATACCAGACATGTGAAATGTCCGGTATTTCCTTTTTCCAACACATTATCAATAAATTACAGCCTATACTGGAACAGGACACTAAACTCAAAGAAGCTCTGGGAGACAGACCCATAGTCTCTTATAGACAACCACCTAACCTCAAGATGATTCTTACCAACAACCACAGGACATACCACACTACTACCAACCCTGGTACTTTCCCTTGCAATAAACCCCGTTGCCAGCTTTGTCCTCATATTCATTCTGCTGATACCATTATTGGACCTAACCAAGTGAGTTATAAGATCAAGAACACATATTCCTGTGCATCCAGAAATATAATCTATGCTATCATGTGCTGAAAGTGTTCGTCTGCTATGTACATTGGACAAACGTCTCAGACACTTCGCCAAAGAATCAATGCTCACAAAACAGACATTAGACAGGATCACAAAGAAAAAACAGTTTCTTGCCATTTCAACCAGAAAGGACACTGTCTCAATGACCTAATCGCATGCATCCTACTTCAGAAGACTTTCAAATCTGCACTTGAAAGGGAATCCTCTGAACTGGCATTCATGCTAAAATTCGACACTCTCCGTGGGGGGCTGAACAAAGACCCCAACTACCTTACCCATTACAAAGATAGCTTCCCCAATTATCACCTCTAATACCATTAACTCACAGACATCTACCCTTCCCCACCTCTAATATCATTAACTCACAGGCATTCACCTTCCTCCTTCCTTTCCCCCCTCCCCCGCATCCCCCTTCTGTTCTGAAATGTGATTTGTCCTTTTCATATGTGTTCATTTTTTTTAATTGTGTCCTTTGGTATATATGGTTGTGACTATTTTCTTCCACTATTTGATCTGAGGAAGTGGGTCTGGCCCACGAAAGCTCATCATCTAATAAACCATTTTGTTAGTCTTTAAAGTGCTACATAGTCCTGTATTTTGTTTCAGCTACACCAGACTAACACGGCTTCATTTCTATCACTAGCACATGACATAAGTAGTGCCAGTAAACGTAAGAATACTTTACCCTTACTCGTTTCAATTTTCAGAAATACATATACTTAAAACATAGCATTTTTCCTGTACATTTATGCCCCTTCCTATTCCTGTATAGCATTTACATGTAGACAGCTAAATTACACTACAAGAGTTTTTTTATAATAGTTTTTGAACAAAAAATCCTAAACAATAACAAGTATGATACTAAGTAAACACATATCTATTTGAATATGTAGGTTTCTGATCATGTAAAATGCCTGCACCAAACTGAATCACTGACAATATAATAGTAGTCTCACTAAATAAAGATTAACAGTCATCCGCATTACATCATATAACTCCAGTACTACTGGCAAGCACTAATTTTGAAATGCAATTTTATACTGCATACTATAAAAATCAATTCTGCTGTACACAATCCAATCGTGTAAAAATTATAGTGCCGTTTAGTGTGATCCAGTACTACCAAAACAGGTATTACCTTCAAAATAAAATGATTTAATTGATTTGCATTCTTCAAAAATGTTGCAAGAAAAATTTAAATTCAAAATCAGCAGAAAACTGCAACTCCAAACAATGCTAAAATAATTGCATTTTTCCTATCTTATAGCTCAACAGAAGAAGTCTGTATGAGAGGAAAAAAAAAACCTTTTTATTATTATTGAAGGAAATGCACAAAAAGGCTTGTTTTATAAAATTAAGCATAAAATAGCCTCCTTTTGGGATCTCTCTACAAAGAGGAAATGAGATGTCAAACTAACTAGCTTATGATTCAGTATGCATATTTGACCATATCAGTCATCAGAGTTTTCAAACAGTGGAGAAGAGAGATGCCATGTTACAGTTTCTAGAGAGGCCTACTGCAACTGATTCATGCACTCATTATAATCATCTACCAGAAAACATGGTATCTGATTGATTATATATTGTGAAGAGAAACAAGGCTTACCTGAAAGTGCAAAATTATGGTCCATATTAACCCCAAAGTCAACTTGGGATTTCCATCTGTTATGTCATCATTTCTAATATTTACCAGTTTCACCTGCCATTGTGGAAAGAAAAATATAGGTAAAAGCCAAAACAAATTGGTTCTGAAAACATCTATCCTACAACTTGGGACTGACTCTAAGCTAAACACTACTAACATTCTGAATATATTCAGTTACAAATATATTAGGCCACATTTCAAATCTCTCTCCCCTGCGCAGTGCAAAGGACCTGGCTTCGGCTGTAACTGGCCAGTTAAGAACCACCCTAATTGGGGACAAACTTTCAGCTAGCATAAAGTTTCCTGGGCCAGCTGTCCTCCATCCCAGTGTAAGGAGCACGTAAGAAAGAGACTGTATTAAGCATGTAGTAGATCAGAAGGGGGCAGGAAATCATCCCAGGGCCCAGAGCAGTACAGGAGAACCATCAGCATGAGGGAGCTACAACTGGTTCTTAGGCACTTTCCCCTTCACCCACTCTCCTGCACAAAAGAGAGTGCCGCTCTGGCACCATGAAGCTACTGATGTCAACATGTACTCATATACACGGTTAACCGATGAGCTCATTGGTCAACCCTCACAGCTCCTCTTTCACGCAGGGAGAGCTGGGGGAAAGCAAGAGCCGCTGTGCGTGGGGAGTCGGCTTTTAAGTACCAGCTCCAGCTTCCCCCTCGCGTAAGTGTAACTGCTAAAAACTTTAGCAGTTATACATTTACAAAAATAAATGTATTTTAACGTCCCTAACTAAAGCAATGACATTATTTTTCAATGTTTACATTTCTAATATAATTAATCAGAAATAAGCACACCTTCCAACTATTCCACACATCTTAAGTAATGAACAGAATTAAAATTATCACTGAAGTTTCAAAATCAATGGACAGCCATATTTGCAACTCTGATAATCTCTCAGGCTACGTCTACATTGGCATCCCTTTCCGGAAAAGGGATGCTAATGAGACGAGTCGGAATTGCAAATCCGCGGGGGATTTAAATATCCCCGCGGCATTTGCATTTACATGGCTGCCGCTTTTTTCCAGTTTGGGGATAAGCCGGAGAAAAGCGCCAGTCTAGACGCGATTCTCCGAAAAATAAGCCCTTTTCCGGAGGATTTCTTATTCCTACTTTCTTATTCCGACTCGTCTCATCAGCACTCCTTTTCCGGAAAGGGATGCCAATGTAGACGTAGCCTCACTGTGTTATGTATGCTTTCTGGTAACCTATTACAATCATTTTCATATATATTATTCCATTTACACACACACACACACACACACACACAAATGTGTCTATGAAATCTGGCAATTGAAAGATGACATATTAAATGCATGTGATGCTCTTATTAATCAATGATTATTTCTGTTTGTTCTTTAGGATACACACTTGTATCAACATCTTATGTACAGGGCATATTTTCTTCTTGATTCATCCACATAGGTATAATTAAGGTGAGTAGGCATTCCCCATGGAAAAAAAGGACAATATATCCCAGAGTTATACAAAAATTAAGAGATGTCTTCATTGTTTTCCTCCTACTAAAGGTTGAACCTCTAGTCAGGCACCCTTGGGAACTGACCAGTGTTGTACCAGAGAATCTGCCAGACCATGAGAGGTCAATAGTGTTTAGCAGCATTACCAACACTTCCACTGCTTACTAGACTCTTAGAAGACATTTAGGGGTAAATTAGAGCTAAACAACAGGACAGAACAATGAGAGCCAGAACTAGTGGCTGTAAATTTTATGGGACCATGGGAAACTTGGCTACACACACATGATCAGTGGACATCTGGCTAACAAAAATCAGATGGTTGCCAGTGAGAGAGTGCTGTGGCAGGGTCAGGCCAGGGTGCTGCTGCAGAGTGGGAAAAAGGCAGCCCAAAAAGGGTAAAAGACCTGCTAAATAGAAGCAAAGGGCCATAGGACAATTAGAAGCAGCTGGTAGGGAGCTGGCTCAGGCAGACTGGGGCCAGTTGACTCCACTGCTGGCTTGCTGAAAGCCTTGAAAAGTCTCCACAATTAGAAGGCGGAGGGGAGAGTGAGAGGATAGAAGAAGAGGTAGAGGAGAGTCAGAGTTTGTCAGTAAACCGTTAACAACTTTATAACAGAAACAGCAGAAGAGGGAGTCCTATGAAGTGTAGCTAGGCTCCCTACGCCAGAAACCAGCTACAAGCCCCAGGCCTGGGGGTGGGGCAAGAGGCCAGCCCAAGCAGCGGCCTGGGTAAGAGAGGCCCTTGTCACAGTGTTGAAATAAAGAGTTTCAACCTGTACATTATTAAAGCTTTAAAGTTTGAGAAAAATGTACGCTATGGTCATATATAGCTTTTATTTTACTCATTTTGCTTTCCAAATTTAGCCCTCAAAATTACTGATGTTTGGGGTCTGACTAAACGAAATCACAATATAGTCCTTCAACTGGGAGTCACCCAAGGTATGTCTACACTACAAAGTTAATTCGAACTAACAGCCGCTAGTTCGAATTAACTTTAATAGTGGCTAAACATACAAACCGCTAGTTCGAATTTAATTCGAACTAGCAGAGCGCTTAATTCGAACTAGGTAAACTTCATTCTACAAGAACTAACCCCTAGTTCGAATTAAGTAGTTCGAATTAAGGGCTGTGTAGCCACTTAATTCGAACTAGTTGGAGGTTAGCCCTTCCCAGCTTGCCCTGGTGGCCACTCTGGGCCAAACCAGGGAAACTTTTCAGCCTCCCTCCCGGCCTCGGAGCCCTTAAAGAGGCACGGTCTGGCTACAGTGCTCGTGCCAGTAGCAAGCCTGCTAACACCCAGCCAGCAGACCCTGCACCTGGCATGGCATGAGCCAGCCACCTGCTGCCACTCAGCCCTCCGCCTCTTCCGCGGACCAGGCTGGCAGCTCACAGGAGCCTGCTCGGGGCTGCAAGAGGCGGGCGCCCGCCTGGTCTAGTGCGGAGATCGTGGACCTCATCGAGGTTTGGGAGAGGCCTCCAACATCCACGACCTCTGCACTAGGCACAGGAATGTGGCCGTCTAGGGCAGGATAGCGGCCAGCCTGGCCACCAAAGCCCACATGCGAACTCAGGAGCAGGTCTGCATGAAAATCAAGTTGGTCCAGTGAGACCCCTGACCCTGAGCTTAGACCATAAGAACATAAGAATAGCCGTAGTGGGTCAGACCAAAAGTCCATCTAGCCCAGTAGCCTGTCTGCCGACAGCGGCCACCACCAGGAACCCAGGAGGGGATGGACCGAAGACAATGACCAAGTGATTTGTCTCGTGCCATCCATCTCCAGCTTTCCACAAACAGAGGCCAGGGACACCATTCTTATCCCCTGGCTAATAGCACTCCATGGACCCAACCTCCAAGAATTTAACTAACTTCTCTTTAAACTCAGTTATAGTTCTAGCCTTCACAGCCTCCTCTGGCAAGGAGTTCCACAGGTTGACTATGTGCTGTGTGAAGAAGAACTTCCGCTTATTAGTTTTAAACCTGCTGTCCATTCATTTCATTTGGTGTCCTCTAGTCCTTCTATTATGGGAACTAATGAAGAACTTTTCTTTACTCACCCTCTCCACACCACTCATGCTTTTATAGACCTCTATCATATCCCCTCTCAGTCTCCTCTTTTCTAAGCTGAAAAGTCTCAGTCTCTTTAGCCTCTCGTCACATGGGACCTGTTCCAAACCCCTAATCATTGTAATTGCCCTTTTCTGAACCCTTTCCAAGGCCAAAATATCTTTTTTGAGGTGAGGAGACCACATCTGTACAAAGTACTGAAGATATGGCATACCATAGTTTTCAAAGGGCTGTAAAGCTGCCATAAGTGATTACTGGGGAATTCTCACAAAAGTACCATGACATGGAGGCACCACAGGATGCATGTTGGGGAAATTCCTTCAAAAAGGGAGCATTGGCAAGAGTGCCATTGTGCTCCAGGTATTCTCAGGTACCAGAATGTTAGATAAGGCAATACCTGTGGCTCCTTGAACTTCGCTGGGATGGGGATGACTATGGGAAACCCCAAAACAAGGCAGAGACAAGAGTGGCTTTACACCTTTGCTATACATCTCTCACCTAATCATCATCACCACCACTACCACCACTAGTTAACACACCATAATAAATCCTTCCCTCATCAAATTCTATTAGTTGCATATGTACAATTTTCCCTTAAGTTTTATTTATTAAAGTATGACCATACCTGGCGTTTTTTCAAATAGTCAAGTGCAATTTGTACATTCTGTAGTCTGTGAAAACGCATCCGACCTTTCTCTCGGGGCTAAAATTGGAAAATGAAAGTTGTGAGATTTTCAAAAGACCAAAATTCCTCCAACGTAGACCATATGATTTAAAAGTTTACACTTTAAATCTTTAAAAATACTAATGTTTTGACATCTAATACAAAAGTTTAATTGAAACTTAGTAACTTTGGGGAAAAGCGACTGAGATATGAATTTATATAAAACCTATTTTCATTGCAGTTGAAATTTACTAGCACAACTATTGGAGACGGGAAATAAAGGCCTTGATCCTGCAATTTGATCCATAGATGCCTGTGTCCATTACAAGTTCTACTAATATCAAGAGGGCTCCCCATTGGCATGGGGTCTACCCATATGAACCAGATTGCAAAATCGAAGCCATAGTGGGGGATACCTAGATGCTGCATCATAACAAAAGTTTTACCACACTTCAGTTAAACCAAATCACAAATAATAATCAAGTGTATCTCTGAGCTGTCCAATTAATGACTCTGATAACAGTGTATTAAGAAACTTACCTTAATATGTAGGTGGGTTGTGGTTTTAGATTTTGTTTGTGTTTTAATCACATCAATTTCAATATTAATAAATATATATTGAGAAACATGTAATGAAAATAAACTCTTTCCTACTAACAGAAACCCTGTAATTGTAGACACAGGGTGCATCTACACAGCAGGGCTTAACTCGAAATAAGCTACACAAATTGATCTACGTTAATTGTGTAGCTTATTTTGAAATAGTGTATTTCAAAATTGGAAGCATCCACACAGCACTTATTTCGAAATAGAGCACTCTTCCTCCGACTTTCCTTACTCCTTGTACAATGAGGGTTACAGGAGTCAGAGTAAGAAGTCCTACAGCTTGACAATATTTCGACATTATTTCGAAATAATTGCCTGCCATGGCGCAGACTAATCTTGCTGTGTAGACATACCCGCAATGCCTAACTATATACTCCTTCCTCAGGCAAAATTTCATTGTAGCAGAACTGTTTGAACACTTACGAAAGTGAAGCATAAAAAAAGTTGAAGGATCCCGTTCATCCCAGTGCAAAACCAAATTAACAAAAAAGAAACTCTAAAACAATTATGCATGGTGTGTTAATGGAAACATGGCAAAACAGCATGCAGTTAGTGTAAAATCACCAAGAGGAAGAATTACACACAAAAGGAATATTTTACTTAGCTGTCAGAGATCAACAATAGGAAAGTAGTTAAATTTACGTCATCTTAACATCCAAATATTAGGATCCTTCTTCCTTATTTCAGATTTTTCACAAACTTTCACAGTAATATGCTGAAGCATACTACAAACTACGCATCCAGCTCAGCAATGAATATGAGTATTTCCTCAGACAATCTCTGTGAAATAGTCAGACAGTCATAGATTTTCCTTAATTGAACTCCCCTTGCCCCACCTAAGGAATATCAAGTGTTTGCCAAGAGGAAACATGATGAAATGCAATTGGAAAAGAAGCATAAGCTAAAACACAAAAATGGAATTTTAAATTACCATATAAGATTTCAATCTGTTTTAAAACAACTGACAGATTTAGATCAACCCCTTCAATCTTTACTATAGAATAACTTCCAGGAGTGGAACTAAGGATTATAAAATTGACACCTTACTTTACAAACAAGGAGTGTTTGCTGAAGTTCAGATTGTCAAAAAATAACATAAGATCACAGAGGGGAAATATTATACAGCTAAAGTGCAAGTGTCTTGAGACAGTATGCCTTTGGATCAAAGCACACGCATTCCAATGAAATCACAACAGCAGCATGACATGTTGTGAATCCAAGGACAGAATCTGGACCTAACATACAAAGTTGCTTTAGCAAACACTAGTAATGTGGCTTCTACAGAGGCATGAAACTTCCTTAGATCCAGCCAATACCCAGCCTTTTAGATTTTAAGTAGATATTTCCCTTCTGGATGACATAATTTAAAAAATGGTAATTCAACATATCTGTTGCCATAAAATAAGCCCTACACAGAATCAATATATTTATTAGCTCAAGCTCTACACGTACCTGTGACAACTACACTATTCACTATCTACTTTGAAAGTAATTATAGTTAAATCAGATCAACCATCTATGTGATGATAAACTGCTATAGTATATTTTCATAATTAGTCTAAATTCCATAATTCCATATATATATAATTCCATATAATATTATGTTGTACATATGTTATATATGGGAGTTTTACCATTTAGTTCAATGGAGCCAAGATTTCACCCTTTGCTTATATATCTGCATAATTGCTACAGAAATTACAGTGACTGAAAATAAAAAGAAGTGTAATTTAATATAAAATAACATTATTCCATAATATTTTGATTGTCACTTACACACTGTTATATTTCTGCAGTGTAGTGATTGAAAATAAGTGGAGATCTTAACAAGCTTTGCATTTCACTGTTTGCAAACAAACTGAATGAAAAATAACACGTCTTTGTCATATCTCCATTTTATCAGTCTCTCAGATTACGTATATCGTGGTTGATCAGTGTAAGTTCTTCCATCCTTTCCACTGAACTACTGCAGAACACCAAACTAACAGGTTACTTTTAAGTTAGCAGATACCATACTTCAAATACTAAGTTAGTATAGTTATGGGGGTCGACACCTACCCCCTTATCCTCATCCTCCACATCCTCATGCTGTTCAAACGCGCATGCTTCTGTTGAACTCACCAACCGTAAGGTCTTCAAAAAATCTCGCTCCCTTGGCTAATGAATATAACAGATAGAAGATAGGACAGCAAAGACACAAGACAGACCACAAATGAAGAAAAAAGCATGAACAGAAGAACATAATGAAGAGAACAAATAACAAGCAAGGGAAGTAATGCTTACAAAGAAAGGAAATGACACCTGAGGAGTGTGTTAGATAAATCAGGGACATTTTTTCCTTGCTATTAATGTGAAGTAATATTATTTATTTAATATTTGCTAAAGAACACTCAGGGAAAAAAGGAAAGAGAGAAAGAACTAGGGCATTAATCTATGAAAAGAAAGAGAAGTCTCATGATCATAGAAGACGACTAACAAAAACAGTTCATATTCCCACACTGTTCATGGTGTGGTATGTACCCAAAAAAATACAACATATGCCTTTGGGATCAACAGTTGCAATAGTGGGATCATCAAAGAGACTCCTTACAGCCCACATCTGAAGAGTTAGAGAACAGCATAATTGGGTATATAATGGCCCAAAATGATTGCACAGTGATTAAAAAAGCTCACCAAGGTATCCCCAGAAAGGACTTCTAAAAGGGAGATCAAGTTATGTCCATCCCTCAGGTCTTCATACAGGTCATTCACATGCTTGCGCACCTGCCAAATCAGAGGAGGGAGAAAGAATTCACAATGATATTGAATATTGATTTTCTCTAATGTATACACTCTTACATATTTCAGCATGCCACTCTTGAATTGGGCAGTCACTATGCCAAGAAAAATATAAAAACAAAATTAGCTTCAATATAAACTTACATTAAACCCCCTTATGTATTTTCTATATTTTAATAATGTATTATGTATTAAATATCAAAAGAACAGTAGAAAGGCCAAAAGGCCAAAAGACAGGCAACAAATTGACAGCACTTTCAACATTCCTGCCTAACCTGATTTTGGATTCTTTTGGCACAAGAGAGATCCTACACCCTATTAAATGTGACCTCTGCCAGTCACAGCAGAGGTTGTGGGTCTTTCATCTACATTCTCATTTTGGGTCCCCATTAAAACAACATAGAGCAGTGATTTCCAAACTTTTGAGGATCAATCCTCTTACCCTCTCTGCAACCCTCCCACGCCTTCAGAGCTGGAAGCAGGGCCATAGCTGGAGTGAGAAGAAATGTGGATTAGGGTAAGGGAGCTGGAACTAGTGCTGTAGCTGGCAGGCAATCTGGGGCCAGGAGCATGGCAAGGCCTGAGCTGCAACCACGGGTGTGAGCAGGACCACAGCTGAGCTGAAGTAAAGGCTGGCTCTAGCCCTGCCTTGCTCCCACACTTGGCTGACTGGAATGGAGCAGCAGGCAGCACTCAAGGTTGGGGCATGGCCGGGGCAGAGCCACACTGACACTGGGGATGGGCCAGTGGGGGCTGGGATCAGGGATGTGGCTGCAGGTGGAACCGAAGTAGAAGGGGCAAGAAGTGGCTAAGTGGTGCTCTCTCCCCACCACTGTAAGGGCTGGCCAGGCCCCACCGGCCACCAAAGGTTCCTAAGCACCCCCTTAGAGAGTGTGCTCCACAGTCTGGTGATCTGTGTCTTACAGAAAGCATTCTGAGCTTCCAGAGGACTGTCTGATTGTGGCATAAAAAAGGGCAGGCAGTCTCTTCTTAAGCAGTTATCCCTGCCACAGGCACTAAATTCTGCCAATGTAGGATCTATGAGATGATCTCTAACTGTCAGCACATATGTGCGTGTGAGAACAGCATCAGGAATCAATCCAATTCCTCTTCTGCTAGATCTGAGCTATGGGAGAAATTTGTATATCCTTGCTTTGAACAAATAATTAACTAACATATTTGTAGCTAATTTTAAATAAATGCATTTTAGTACAAGATATCTTGCTTATGTCGTCTGCAATTTACAAGACGACCATCTGAAGTGGAACTAACATCAGAAGCATATTTATGTTTATATGGAAAACTAATGGAAACAAGCTATATGGAAAAATTTTCAATAATGAATTATTCCTGACATTTTCCAAACTACTTACGTGTCACACCCACACAGCAAAGACAATATAATTCTACTTGAATCTCAACATAAGATCAAGTTACATGTATTGCAAATGCAAAAGGAAATTACATTCCAAAAGAAAACATTTTGCAATACCAAATTACTGTGGAAAAAACCCAAACAGCTATACATAGGATATAATCTGATCCAAACAGAAACAGGAAGTACCAGAAATGTCATTAATGTCATCAGAGGGAGAGAGAGAGAGAGTTTCCTCCATTTTTTTAAGTTGAGGTCCCTCTAACAAGGTCCCTCCCTCCCGAATGAAACCAGTCAGATGTCTATTGCAACCCCATTTCAAATTATAATCCTCTGCACCCAGGTAAGCCTTTGCTCATCCTCCTCATGTATTATATACTTTGGGAAACTCTGAGGTACACCTTCATGATATTATAATTCCTTTGCATTCTTACACGCATTGATGAGCAGTGAAAGAATTACAATGTTGACATTTAAAATATGAAAACTGGCCTCTGATTTAGCACCACTGAACTGAATAGGGCAGTTCATACATCAGAATTATAGTTACAGACTCTCTGAAAACTCAGATGTCTCTGCATTAGTCACAGTTCCTTCATATTTTGAAGGGTTTCTTTATTTTCACAACTGTGCACCTAAAGACTTTCATTTTATTTAAGTTGAGACTCTAGAGCAGCGACACTCAATAGGTGGCCATAGGCCAAATGTGGCCCACCAGCTCACCTTAAAAATGTTTATAATTAAATTCACAAACAGTGATCTTCTGCATATCATTTCCCTATGATTTCCTTAGTAGTATCTTAATGGACTGTAAGTTCTCACGACAGCATTGGCAATGACTGAGTGAGGATGCCACCCAATTTTTCATTGGCGATGGAAATGGAGCAAAAAATGGATGTGAGTGGGAGTAAACACTGCAAATTTGACAGTAAAAACTGAGGATTTAACCTAAACTGGACAGAGGATTTTTTTTATTATGATACATTATATATGCAAGACCTTGTGTTTAATATGCCAAAACACTATCCATAGGTAAGTCTATCAACACAAGGCACCACTTTGAATTAGGGATGTGAATGACTAGTCAACTATCCGATAAACAAATGCTTATCAGATATAGTCAACACACTAGTCGACTAGTTGCTTCCCATCCCCCTTGCTGCCTCTATCAGAAAGAGGCAGCAAGGGAGGGGGAGGAGTCCCCAGCTGTCCCCCGCATGTAGCATTTCAAAGCAACAGCTCCGTGTGGAGTCTGAGGTCAGCTGGAGACTTCCCTGCTGACCCTAAGCTCCATGTGGCACTGCTGCTTTGAAACACCAAGTGGAGCCTGATGCGAGGCTCCCCACGGTGTTTCAAAGTGGTAGCGCTGCATGGAACCCGGGGTCAGCTGGGGAATCTGACTCCAGGCTCCATGCAGCACTGTCGCTTTGAAATGCCACAGGGAGCATGGTGCCAGTTCTCTCTGCAGCGCTTTCGCCTTTGAAGTGTAGCAGCAGCCCTGGGGGTGCCCGCCTTAATCACAGAACCATAGAGCTGGAAGAGACCTCAGAAGGTCATCAAGTCCAGCCCCCTGCCCTAGGCAGGACCAATCCCAACTAAATCAACCCAGCCAG